ACAAAGGAGCGAGTCCGGGCAGCTTGCGGCGCCGCCAGTCCGCGCAGAGCCCCCGAGCCGCGCGTCGTGCACCCCGGAAAGTTGATTCCCAGCAGAAGCCCGGTTAGAGCTGCTGCAACTTTCACCTCCCTTAAGGAGATCCAAACACTTTTTTTTGTTAACCGAGCCGCTTGCTTGCCGGCTGAAGCGGCAGGGTGGAGCTGCGGGAATCTCCAGGACTCTGCTACAGAGCCTCCCGACTGCGCCTCTCCCCGCTTCCGCGCCAGGTTGGAGGGGGAAGCGCGGCTGCCGCTCGGGGCCTCACACCGCTCGGAACCGCACTGAAGTGAGCAGGAGATGCGGGAGGCGATCTCCCGACCCTCAGACCCTCGCCTCAAAGACGGGAAGAGGCTGCTGACGGGTCATCACATCCTTCCTAGCCAAGCTGGGCATCTTCAGGGTAGACACTGAGGCGTCCGTGAGCTGTGAACGTCTACTCTTGGATACTTCCAGCATATGAAGATTTGCCGCTGATGCTTTCTCTTCTGTGACAAACTAAACATTACATAAATTTACCATTTTAACCATGTCGAGAGTCCAGTTCTGTGCCATCAAGTAAATTCACACAGTTGTGTGGTTGTTTTCAGTCGTTAATTAAAATGTCAACAAAATGTAAGTAGTAAGATGTGCCCTGATAGGAGGTAAACTGCTGTTAGAAATTAAGGCAGTTTCTTCGTTGTTGTTGTTTTCTGCCTCACTCACCACCTAATACCACCAACAACACATCTGTGGTGACTTCCTAGGTAAGACTGTTGAGTGAACATACAGCTAATGTACATCGGCCATTATTTTCCAAGGGGAAATAACCCACATCGTCTAAATTCTTTTTCCAACGTTATGTACGTATAGCTTATGTGTCAGAATTTTAAACAGCAACATTCTTTTTAAAATAATAAATGTGGCTGAATGCGCTCTCCAGCCCTTTTTCTACGCGGACCTAACAAGTTATAGAACTTCAGGGTCCACGCAGATCATGACTGGGCCTTGATTTATCTTTCTAACCCGACCTCCCCCAGTCTCCTCCCCTTTACTCAAAAGCTTTCTCCACACCGCCTAGTTTGCAAGCCCTGTGATTTAACTCAGTCTGCTTCTTGAATACAGAATGCTTCTCCACGCATTTCCAAGTCAGGCCTGTCCTTCATGGCATTGTCTTGGGTGAGCTGCGGTAGCACCTTTCTCTGCACACCTTGATGACACACAGTGTTTGTGCCCTCACATTATAATTACATAAAGAGCGACTTAACCTG